TATATGTATATATGAGAACGCCAATGAACGATTAAAAATTTTAGATGTTTCAAATAATACGATACATATTCTTCGTTATTTAAGATATGATTACGCGTCGAAATATTCGGACATTCTTGTATATAAAATTAATTTATCTCAGATGTGATTATACGCCAAAACGTTCAGACTTTCAACACATTCAATCTAAGACAGTAGTAATCCTCTCTAAATTAAGTTAAAATAATTGCAAAGAATTTCAACAACGAAGGGGCTTAAGAAATCAGTGCGAAATTTAAATTATATAAATTTAAATTATTTATACAGTTATAATTTTAATTTGTGACGATAAAGAATTTCTTGTAATTTTAAGTTTGAACAATTTTGCTACAGTAGTGGAGTTGAAGAATTTTACAATTTTTTTCCATCCAGTCAAGGAACTAGCGTGAATGTAATGAAAATTGTTTTTGTCTTCATTCCTTACTTAGCAAGATAAAATAAGAAACGATTAAAACGGGGGAGCGATTGCGTATCATCGCCGAATATTCTTACTTCTCGCACTTTCATCTTACATAAAAAAATACGCACGAGTAGCTATGAGCATAGTGAAAATATAATATCCCTATGCTCACGAGAGTAAAAATCACAAATGTGAATGCGAAGTGCAAGTGATACTTGTACGTGACCAAGATAATACATAACACTTTTGTTGTGATATACGTAAACATTCACGTATAATTTATAACAATATAATTTATTTCAACATTACGATATTTATGAACCATATATTATTCAAATAACTAACATAATAAAATTATCTATATAGGGTCAAGCGGATCTTAGTGTACAATAATATTTTTAAGTGAATTTTATAATCTTACAATTTTATAATTTTCGTTTGAACTGGAAATTTTAAAATTTACACAAAAAATATTATAAGACATGAAGATTTGCTTTGATCATATAGATCATTTCATTATCTTAGTTATTTAAATAATTTATATACTTAATATATTTATATACTAATCTATATAATTTTGTAAATATTATATATTGTCTGGGATTTCAAATGGATCTTGAATATCCCGTAGTCTTCTTATTAAATTCAAATGTCTTGCGAATTTTGTCATTTTTGCTCTATACAAAGCATAAAAATAATGTCCATTACTGGAAACCAATATGTCTATAAATAGAACGGATTTTAATATTATAAATTTCAACTAATTTCAATCTCGACACGCTTTAACACCATTTGATATAATTTGAAACATAGAAATTTGAAACATAGAATTTCTTGTCGAGCAATGTCACGAGACACATTTCCATTATGATGAAAACTATCCAATCAAGTGAGAGCTCACTTTTATCATTTATACTAGATTTCGAGATACACATTTCGACCCCCAGGTGATCACATAATTTAACATAACTTATTATATTGATTAATCCGTTTTATCGCTTTTATATGCTTTGGCTCGAATTTGAGCCAAAACGTTTTATGTATGTTTATGTAAACATTGACTAAGAATATTAAATAATTTAAATTTATATATATTGCGCACTGTTTTTAGCGCTGACTCCTTAAGCCCGTTTGTTATTAAACTTTTATTTTGATTTCGAGGAGTCCGTTAATTGTTTGTAAAAATCTTATTACGAAAAATATTAACCTCAGTCAGAATTCGATCTCTCAACTTTTCGAGGCGAATATCTTAGCCAACTCGACAGTAAGGTTTCAGAAATATTTTTCGCAATACTGATAGTGAGAAAACGCATAATAAGGCAGCGTATTTTAAAATTAACAAACAATCTTGTAAATGAGAACATAAATATGTATTTAATGAACGGTTAAAGATTTTAGATGTTTCAAATAATAATAATATATATTTTTTGTTGAATCGAAATAGAGAGATATGACCGCGCGCCGAAACGTTCGGACATTCGCTTATGAAATTAATTTATCTCAGATGTGACTGTGCGTCGAAACATTCAGACTTTCAATACATTCAATATATAAGGTGTCTCAGAACTCGCATACCACCAGTTACCATCGTATTCTTCGTAAAATTCTAAAATGAAAAATTGTAAAAAAAACCAAAAAGCAATCTGATGAGTGGAATTTGAATGATGAGATATTGAAGTTGACGAATGGGCGCGCGTGGAATTCGCGCGATCAGGATCGGCACAACCGAAATTGACACTTCAGTGCACAGTGTCAAAGCGTGTTTCTCATTATTCTTTGCATTTAATTTAACTAATTAGTTAAAAATTGTTTAAAATACATCAATTGTTTTATTTAAAAATTGTTTAAAACGTCTGTAAATTATTTGAAAATAATGAAAGTTATTTATAAAATGTTAATATTATTTGAATATTAAAAAAGTTTAACAATATCAAATATCAAATTATGTAAGCAATGTTCCAATTATTTTAAAAAGTTTATTATTGCTTTATTATATAACAAAATGATTTTAATAATTAATACACAATTTTTAATATTTTTTACAATAAATTGCAGGTTTTAATAATAATTAAAAATTTTTAAAGTAATTTTAAGGTATTTTATATAATTTTTCGATTTTTAAATCAAGAAAAAGAATTTACAATATTTCATAATAATTTTTAATTTTTGTGAAATTATTTTAGATATTTTGAACAATTTTTAGGTTTGTAGCAATGATAAGATTTTGTAAACAATTTTAAGATTGTATTGAATATTTTTAGGATTTTTAAAAATAATTGCAGAATCTAAAACACTTTTTATATTTTTATGAGTTATTTAAGCAATTATGAATATATTATGATATTTATAATATTATGATATTTACATTTTTTTTTATTTTTAAAGCAATAATAAATTTTTTTTTAAATAATTGTAACATATTGATATTCGTTAAATCTCTTCAATATTCGCGTGCGTTAAATAATATTAAAGTTTTATAAATAATTTTTTTGTTTTTAAATAATTTGTGGATGTTTTAAACAATTTTCAAATTTTTAAAAACAATTTTCAAATTTATGTATTTTAAATAAATTTTAACTAATTAGTTAAATTAAATGTAATGAAAAACATACTTTGATATAAGTGTCAGAAATGCTTTGCGCCAGTCTCAATTGTGCTGATTCTGACGTGAATTCCATGCACGCCTATTCATCAACTTCAATATCTCATCATTCAAATTTTATTCATCGGATGGTAGAGGGCTTTTCATCTTAGAATTTCACAGAGAATACGTTGGTAATTGATGGTACGCGAATTCGGAGACGTGTATAATATGATTTATATATCCTTAAACCATATTATACAGGTTAATATATACCTATATATACATATATTGGGTTATCCGGAAAGTTCGTGCCGACTAACCTATTGTATATAATTTAATAAATGTATACTAAAATTTAAATCTTCTGCGTTTCAATTTTCCTTCAAAATCGACATGAACTTTCCAGACAATCCAATATATATATATTTATAGTAAACAAGAATAAATTAAAATTAATGAATAGAAATGAATAGAAATTCATTTCGATATTTCCGAATTTACGCTTTTGATTTTTCAAATCCATTTGAATCCATGAATTCAATACATCTGAATTCAACGCGGTGAATAATTATTTCGTATTTTAATTCATGAATACATATTTAACATGATGAATAGCGCATTTTATATTTTAATCATTTCAATCAAAAAATAATATAATACGAACAGAAATCATTCGAATTCAACATGATGAATACATTTCGTATTCATTTTTATCCATTTGAATCCAAAAATACTTATGTTGTAAATAAGTTAGCTATGAATACATCCTAGTTCAAAATTATAAATAAGAATAGTCTTATTTGAATTCATTTCAATTAAAAAAAAAATTCAATAATTTGTAAGTTGTGAATACATCATAGTTTAAAATTATGCAAATACACACTTGTATTTAAATAAAAAAAGTTATGACGGAAATATGTAAGTCCTGAATTTATATCCGAGTACAATATTCAATAAGAATATTCCTATTTCGACTGAAATGAATAAAAATGATATGAAATTCTTTTTTTATATTCATAAAAAAAGAATTATAAATGTTATTGTAAAATCAAAAAAATATTTACGGGAAGTTTATTTTCAAGTCGTTTTATTTTTTATCTATTTTATGAACAGAAATCAATTTATGCCGTCAGATATCAATTCATTTCAATTCAGCTCCGGGCTCTAAACCCGGAAAATAAATTAAAATGAATTGCAATTTTTAATTAATTTTCATCCATTCTCGTTTTTACTGGATGTATATATATATATAAAATCATAACAAGAATATTTTTGTCAATTTCTAATCAAATTTTAGGGTAACGATATTGGAGATACATCTACTTCTATGACGGATTTAATAATATTACCGACGCATCAAGGAGTTCATAACGAGCTTGTACCATATACTGAATTAATGCAATTATTAAGAGCATTAGACAATAAAGCCTTTGTACAATTAACTAAGGTCTATACTGATACTATGAGCAAATTGTACAAGAGAGATCTGAAGCGCTTTTTCGAGGAAGCTAAAAATAAGCTCATTAGCAAACGTCTGCAAGGTAGAGCAATAGAAGATTTTCTGCAGTAAAATTTCAATTAATAAATATACGATAAATGAAATGATGAGCATTTAAAAGCCTTAATAGTTAGATTACAATTGCGTATTTTAACACTTTTCTGCATATGTCATTCTCGTAAATTATATATTAATAAGAAGATACGTTTTAAGTAAACACATCGAGGTCTAGTGGTCAAAAGAATGAAGATTTACTTAATCCGGCGCCTATCTGTTTGCTGAGTGGTGAAATATGGACTCCAATGGATGAAGGGAATCTTTTAGATTCAGTCCTCAATTGTGTACTTTCGCAGATGCAGCCAGTATGTCTCGCTGAACAAGGCTTTTGTGTCTCATTTCTTCAATTGGATTCTGTTCTGTCGCCCTCCAAAGTAAGTACATTGATAAATTTTTATTACAATTTCTTATGACTGTCTGTTCTTATGAATGTCTGTTGCTTTGTGCAGAGTAGCGAGATGGAAGAAATAGAGAATGTTAACAATGGTGCAGCAAGTCCTGGATCGGTAACTTCGACGACAAGCAAACGACTGGAGCGTCAAGTAAACGAAGATGTTCGTGCGACTATGGCCGCGATATTCCCGTCATTGGAAACAGAATTGAACAATTTTATCAGTTTCCTGGACAAAATTGACAGCTTGTGAGTTGAGCTTTGAAAATAATGATTTCTAAGGTTGCCACAGACCTGAAAATATATATAAGCCATGAAAATATAAATTGATCAGGAAAAACCTGGAAAAATCATGAAAAATATGAAAGAACCTGGAATTTCAGTTTATTGATTAAATTGCTCTATTTAATTTGTAATATTCCTACTTCAGTCTAAGACTGTATTACAAGACTGTCAAATAGTCGGTGCGTAGTTTGGTTGAACTAGAAATTGCAAAAATTTACACAAAAATAATATTAGACATTAACATGATGGTACTAACATAATCAAATTCCCTCGTTTGTGTTGAACATTTCCGGTTCATTTTAATTTAATAAACTTTAAAATTACATATTTCATATTAATCATGAAAAATTTTTCACTATGTCATCTGGGAAATCTTGAAAAGTAAGGAATTTTAAAATTCATTTTCTGTGGCAACCCTGGATTTCTGCTTTCTTTAAAATTATCTAGAGTTTTTAATAAGTAGATTTTAATAAGTAGGTTAATTATTATGATCTCTTTAATATACTCTTGTATACACTCCCCCCCCCCAGATACACACACACACACATACACACACACCAGTATCTCATAAATTTTTGCCAAGCGTTTTTTGTGTAGATAGAGCGGACTAAACTGAGTCGAAAAGTCTCTATCATTTTGTAATTTTCGCAATGGTTAAAGGGATCCTAAAGTGAAGCTCGAACTCTGATGAAGTCACGTTATCAGATGTCACTGTTTTTCCAGGACATTCATGGTGAAAGGGATAACATGATGTGTACAATTTGCAAGCATGTCTCCGCCGTCTCTGTCTATGAATGTCGCTTAGAGACCAAGGTTGTCAAATGTGAAACGCTAAACATGGGGCGATATTCATAGTTCGTTTTTATTTTAAAACTGTCTTAAATAACGTTCTAAGATAATGCTAACATAGTTCTCGATTTGACTTATGACATTTTAAGACTGTACTTAAGACAATCTTAAATGTAAGAATCGACTATGAATACGGACCTGCTTCGCTGTAAAATTGATACTGAATCTTTCCTTATTTAACTTTATGTTTCTCTTTCTATAAAAAGAAATATAAAATATATTAAACAAGGAAAGATTCAGTACCAATATCACGACGTCAAACAGACCGGTATTCATAGTCACTTTTGCCGGTATTCATAGTCAGTCTTATTTTAAGGACTCAAGGGTTTGTGATTACTATTTCTTAAGTGCAGGTTGCAAAATTTTTGTATCAAGCAAATATTGTCATGACTAAACAGCTTGAGACATCATGTTACACTAAGAAATGATAAAAAAATATATCAATTTTGAAATTTTTGATTGTTCTCGGCATAAATTCCATCTCACAAATACATATTAATGCGTATACTTTAATCCTGGAAAAGAATTTTCGAATCTGTGAAAGAAAGAGAAAAAAAGTATGTTATCCAAAAATTATATGATTTAGTTGATAATACAGACGGCTTAAGATCCCCTTAACTATTGCAAAAATTGTAAAATGGTAAAGGACATTTCGACTCAATTTAGTTCGCTCTATCTACATAAAAGTGCTTGGCAAAAATTTACTCAGGGATGCTCTGTATACAAGATCATCAAAATCCGGACAAATTTCAATTTAAATTTTCCGTTATATTGTGCCTCCGCTAGAGGTTGTTGTTGGCGTATAAGAAAACCTGATGTTTCTAATAAACAGTCATATTCTCAAAATGGCGATGTTAAAACCAAGTGCAGAGTATAATCGAAGAGCCACGATCATCGTAGGCCTTCGTGCTGGGCAACGGAAATAATTCAGTTCTTTGGATATCTGAAATCAACTGTTTATGACGTTGTAGCAAATACGGCTTAGAACAGACACGAAGGTTCCAGTATACCAGCAAGGAAGAGAAAGAACGCACTGCGAGGATTCTCGCAGTCATTGAAAGGGCTCAAGCGCTGATTTCGGATAATCCAGGGCAATCGTTGCGCGTTCTGATAGATGTAATGAAGCCGTGGAAACTGTGGCGTCCAGAAGGTCATATGTTTTTTAGCAGGACGGTGCACCGGCTCATACGAATCATTTGATTTAAAATTGGCTCTCAGACAATGATATGTTTTGGTCCAAGGAATTCTGATCTCCCAACAGCCCAGATTTAAATCCCTATTATGGAGCATAATTGAAAGGGTCACAAACAAGTCTCGATATCCTAATGTGACATTATTATAAGGACCGCTATTAAGGCAGCATTCGTCAGCATGGACAGCGCTACATTACAGTGTGCGTGCAAACGCTTCAGACCGAGAATAGAGGCCGTCATTCAAGCTAATGAGGGATATATCGAATAATTATGCTCTACAGAGATCCCCCAAGTGTCATGTAAAAGAATTTTTTGTAATATTTAATTTTTCATTAAAAACATTTTGTTTAAAGAAATTGTTCGATTTGTCCGGATTTGATGACGCACTCTGTATATGTATACGTATATGTGTGTTTGTATGTATTTGTGTGTATACTATTTACAGTTGGTGCATGTACGTATTAGTGCGTTTATCACAGCATGTCATGTCCGCTCAAGATACCGGCTCGTTTTTATCGATGACATTTGCATCCTCTTTGATCCACGTAAAACGAGCGTTTGACAAATTCATGCAAGCGCAATTACAATCCATATTGTGCGATACAAAAGTTAATCGTCGACACAAATGTGGTATATTACCATATATAGAAAACTTTGGACCATTTGCGAGAACCGCAGAGAAGATTTTCCGCAATTCTGATAGAAAGGTTGATCTCGAGAAATGGTACACGAAGCTTGTGAGTACTATGTTCGAGGCTATTGTTATTCACAGTCGAGAACATCATAAGACGCCTCAGGAAGTGATAAAAATGGGTAATTAGAAAATATAGTACATAATAAAATTATCTAATTTCAATTATTAATAATTATTGCATATAATTATTATATTAATATATCATACTTTTAGAAAATTTTCATCATCTCTATGATCTTCTCTCACAATTAAAAATTTCGATTTTGGACCATGAGCGAAAAGAAGCCAAGCAAAAATATCAAGACGCTCTTCGCGCTTATGTTACGCAATATTTTGGACGACCTCTTGAAAAACTTAATGTAAATTGTCATATAAAAATACTTCTGTAATTATAAGAATATTATTCAGAAATGTTTATTTTTCAGCTTTTTTTCGAAGGCGTACAAGCCAAGGTAGGCGCTGGTGTGAAAGAATCTGAAGTCAGTTATCAAATGGCCTTTAGCAAGCAAGAATTGCGACGCGTAGTGAAGGAATATCCGGCAAGAGAAGTTAAGAAAGGTCTGGAGAATTTATATCGAAAAGTTGAAAAGCATCTATATGAAGAGGAGAATTTGTTACAAGTAAGTAGAATGTGAGAGATGACATTTTTGATGATTTAACGATAATTATAAGTCCTTATAAACATGAAACAATCCTTAAAAGCATGAAAATTATTTTCTCGTTTTTATCTACTTTTTATATATTGCTAAATTTTTAATTTCCAGGTTGTTTGGCGCGAGATGCAAAATGAATTTATCGCGCAATATAGAAACATTGAAGAACTAATACAACGCTGTTATCCAGACAGTAATGTAACACTCGAGTTTACTATACAGAATATTTTAGAATTTTTCTCGGAAATAGCGCGATCTCATTAAATCAAAATGTAATTTTCTCTTCACTATTACTCTATTTGACTATTATTACTATAATACATTATATGAATTCTAATATTTATTGACATAATAATTAGGGATGCACTGGATCTTAAAATTATCGGATATCCGGCGTCAAATTATTTTCGAATATACGATATTCGGTCGAATATCCAGTAGAATAATTATTTAGCTGGATACTTCCCTATCATGCTGAATATTTTTCCGGATATATTGCCGGATATCTGGAAAATGATTTTCAAAAAGAAGAGCAGCAAGCAGGGAAAAATAGCAATAATAATTTTGTTTATCTTTCCAATATGAAAATAAAAAGAGGAAAGAGATAAGAACTGTGCAAGAAATTCAGCTAAAATAAAATTCTGCATTAATGATGCAAGCAATGAATATAAAAATTTTAACCGGATACCGGATATTTCCCGGATATCTGATGCATTAATAATAATTATAAATTATTTATATAGAGTTGTAATATAGCTGTGTGCGTGCGTGTATGCATACAGGATGTCTATAAAATCTGTTACCACCCCTATATTTTGGAAACAGTTTAAAATTATGAAAAACTATGAATACATGTTCATCATTTCGAGAGATTACTGTTTTAAGAGGATCGGGGAGGTTAACCTCCTCTTCCTCAAGATGGCCTCAACTTAAAAATTTTAAATAGAAATCCTGCTATTGTAACATATTTGAAAGGGCATAAAAAAAGAAAGTTTTTGGTTCAATGCGGAAGTTGATATATTGACTTGTTCAAAATTCAAAGTTTGAAAAATTGTATTTGTTTTTATCTTCAATATGTATTGCATTTATTGCAATAACTGTTCAAAATGGGAATTATTTACTTTTTGACAATAAAATAATTGATCCAAATAGTGAAGAGTAACTGAGATCCAAATTGCAAAATTCTAAATTAACTGCGCATCCAAAGTGAACTGTCGAAAGCATTTTCAGCCAATTTATACTATGTACTGTTTTTTGCTGTGCGTAAGATATGTGTTCGCGGAAATGTTATTGTACATCGATTCTTATAGTGCGCTTGAACGCGCTCCGAATCACAACGGATTACAGCAGCTTGTAAAGAGCTTTTTTTTTTTATTAAACACTCCCTAGTGTTTCGCAAACTATCCTAGATTTAGAACATTTAGCAAAAGAATTAAATTAATGGTAGGAGGAGTGTCAATTAATACTTTTTGAATCAATACCGCTATATACAGTAGAGTCTCTCTAAATTTGGCCCTATGGAGCAATAAGAATGGAATACCAAAATTATAGAGTACCCTCTCTATGTGCGAGTTTACCAATTACCACGTACTTGCGCGAATGCAGTTGCATACGCTAACCTATCAAAATGTATACAGACGGTGACAGAGATGCCTTAACACTGATTACTATTATTATCTCTAGAGTGGCCCTGACTGCAAGTTGAGTCGATACAGCCAGAATCGAAATGATCGCCGGAGACAGCGAGACTTGCAAGTAACATAGAGTAGTCCATCGAATTAAGAGGGGAGCATAAGCTCCATGTGCGAAACAAAAGTTCCTAGAAGGGTGAAAGCGAGCTCGGCTGGGGAGTTTTAAATGTTGAAGTTGTTTGATTTAAGAAATGAGTAATCGACATAACTTAGGGGAAAGGTTTTTGAGGAGAGGGAAGATATAGTTCAGAGTTACAGATGCACATGAATAAAAACTATTAATATATGTAATGAATCAGCCTTAGGAGAAGTGAGTGGACATTAGAAAATGATATGATTTATGTCCTGAGTAAGATCGCCGCAGGAACAGGCCTTAGTTGCAACTATATTTTTCCTGTGAAGGCTGTAGTTAAGATTATAATGATTTGCGCGTAGACGGTTGATTAAGACAATCTCTTCTCTCTTAAAGAAATGTTTATTAAACCATGACAGCTTGAGAGCGAAAGAATTGTTCATAATGTCCTTCCATCTAAATTCCTCGTCGAGATAGTATCTCTCTCTGTATTGCTCCACAGCAGAACTTTTAGCTTCTGAAAATAAATCAGAGTAAAGGATCTCCAAATCAATTCTATCACCCTGTTTAGCACCTACTTTAGCGAGTTCGTCCTTTCATTACTCTCTATGCCCCTGTGAGAGGAGTTCAAGCAAGTCTGATGTAGATGTTCATTCGTAATGTTAAGTAGAATTGGTTTTTGATGGCTGATAGATCAAGTAGCAGTCAATATTCAGGCGAGATGATAAAAGGGATTCCAAGACATTCTCAGTATCCGTGCAGTTATCCTCAAACTTGAATCCATCTGTAAAAGCAAGCGTAGTCTTCCTGTATGAGAGGATGTATAAATTCCTGAAAGCGGCTAAGAAAGAAACAACTCTTTGGGAGTGCCATCATCGATCACCATATTTGAAAAGTCTAGTAATAGTATAGAAACAGAATATGAATATAGAAAAGAATCAGGAACATTGAGTGTTTAATATCATTTTTCAAGTGCTTGAACAGAATATATTTCTTAAAAATAAGAATGCTTTGACATGTAGTGATTCTGGAGCGAGAGGTAATAGAAACAGCTTTCCAGCTATTTCAAGCTATCTATAGATAGACTATCACGCCTCGAAAAGTTTTTAATTAAATATCTAAACGCAAGATATAGTTGAATCTAATGCGTAAAGGAGGCTCGCGTGTCTCAGTCAATATAACGTTAATAGGCGTAGAGAATCTATAGCCTAGGACTATGCGAATTGCTTTCCATTGCAAACATTCCACACATCTAAAAAATGAAATTAATTTCCTTTGAATTGGAAAACCTGACTGCCATCAAGATAGATTCCCTGAAGACAACGTGATAGATAACAAGAATTGATAGAGGTGAGTGCCTCATGATACGCCAAATAAAAAAGACGATATTGATGATTTCTCTTTGTTGATTAAATATTTGAGATCAGTCTTACCTATCAATCTCCTATCAAACAAGATACCTAAAAATCTGCAGGTCTCAACAACAGGTCTCGGTTATCAATTATAAGATGTTGAAACGCAGGAGCAGATCTACTTCTCAAAAACATCATGCATTGCAATTTAGACGGCGAGATGTTTAGTCCTTTATTATTCAAATAAGTAGAAAGAGAGATGAGAGATTCTTGAATGGAAGCAATCACATTTAAATTGGCATTTGAAGAAAACATCACAAGGTTATCAGTATACATTAGAATGGTGATCCCACCTCCAAAACAGTTTTCTATATCGTGTAGATAAAGATTAAATAGGATTGGATAGGACTGAGGGATGAACCTTAAGGCGTGTCCTTGTGAGCTGTAAGAGGATTGTTAAGCCATTCCTAACAAAATAGAGTTCTCTTTCCATAACCAAGTTTTGTATGAATTTGCAATCTTAACAAGGACATTAAGACCCCTCAGCGTTTCTATAAGGATTGAAGGTTGTACATTGTCAAACGCACCAGCTATGTTGATAAAGACGCAGATAATAAAAAGGCCAGGGAGATTAGCAACATGATTGCGATTAGAAAATGTGATGAGATTATCTGTGCATGAACGAGCTGGGCGAAAGCCAAACTGAAATTCAGAAAGGATGAAATACTACTTGATATATCATCTTGTTATATATGATCTTTTCCATAATCTTCAGAAAACAAGAAAGCAGTGAGATCGATCTGATGCCCTTGCCGGAAGGGATAAGGACAATCAAGGATTTCTTCCAATAAGATGAGATAACACCCTGTTTAGCACCTAGTTTAGCGAGTTCGTCCGTTCTTTCATTACCCTCTATGCCCTTGTGAGAGGAGTTCAAGCAAGTCTGATGCAGATGTGCCAAGAAAGCCATTGAAGATTTCCATCAAGGCGTCCCTGAAGTGATTAGAAAGAATAAAAATGATACGATTATTGATCTTGTCAAGACTAGAGACAGAAGCGATTTTTGACTTCTTGATAGCAATCAAGCTTGGCCCTTGAAATTGGAGTTTCTATTTCCGTGATAAGATTAGAAGAATTATTACGTCTTCAGTCAGCATATCTTGAGAGAACAAATAATCGTATTGTAGGAAAGAAGGAAGACATAACTTGTTTATCATGTCTTCACAAAAAGTTCCAAAGTCGAGAGAATTAGTCTGTGATATATCGCTGTTTTTGTTTTTAAAATATTTGACGGGGGACCACAATCTAACTGAGTACGATGATTAAAGCTACAAAGTTTTTTTCAGCCAAGTCTTTTTTTCCTACGTAGAATTTTAGTCAAAGCACATTGTTTTTTATAAGCTAGATAATTTTCCCAAGATAGATTGCACTTATATTCCGCAGGCAAGTTTTCTCGCTGCAACAGCATTGCGACAAGTATCGTTCCACCAAGAGGGCTGTTTACGCCGATCGTCTAAAGAGCGTTGTTGCGATTGCTTAGCTTTGCTGAGAGCAGCAAGCTTTATATGCTATGTTTCTCCTGTACTAAATCCTCATAAGCCTTCATTGGTTGATTAAGTGAATTGCAGGAGGAGAGAAGAGCAGTGTTGCTCAAAATGTTGTTCAGTCTGTCAGTCTCTTGCTTCAGATTGATTTTATAACAAAATCTAGATCTCGACTGAGGAGAGCGATCAGTTGCACCTTTACAAGAAGATAGTCAATATAATCAGAATCATCTAGAGTAATAGAGGAGCTAAGTGCTAGATTACAAGAAACTATACAAGTCGATGAAAGAACGTCTGTGATTGGAGGGTGGATGTACCGTCATTTAAAATAATAGCACCAAGGTCATCCAAGATTGCCAGTAGTCGCCCTCTCGGTCGACATATTCGCAGCCTCACGCCATGTGATGTGCGTTAAAATCTTCCATAAAAATGAATCTGACCTTTTGGCCGAAAGAACATCTTGCATAAGTCACTGGGGGGAGGGGGGTGTCCTTATCTCGGTGACGATATATGTTGACGATGTACAGAGGTTCATTGTCCATAAAAATTCTAATATCCTGAATCTCGACTGATTAGTGCGATATGTAACTATGTAAGATCAAGTATCTAAAAATTGATGTGGCTTCTAATCAGAATAAATAAACTCCTTTGACCTTGAGAGGATATATCCTTTCTAATGCCAGATGTTGAAAAAGAGGTAGCAGTCAAGCAGCGTCTCTGTAGACAAACAAGGTCGAATTCAGAAATAAAGTCCGTCAAATGGGGAATTTTACCTCTACAGTTCCTCTCCTCTACAATTTCATTGCATGCAAGTGAAACTGTTAGATAGGATAGCTCTTTTACAAGTGAATTTTGCTAATTAGAAGGTTAAGAGTAGTA